TTTTTGCATCGATGTTCGTAAGGGAGATTGGTCTGAAGTTCTCTTTCTTTGTTGGGTCTTTGTGTGGTTTAGGTATGAGCATAATTGTGGCTTCATAGAATGAATTTGGTAGTGTACCTTCTGTTTCTACTTTGTGGAATAGTTTGTAGAGAATTGATATTAGATCTTCCTTGAAGGTCTGATAGAATTCTGCACTAAAACCATCTGGTCCCGGACTTTTCTTTGTGGGGAGACTTTTAATGACTGCTTCTATTTCTTTTGGGGTTATGGGACGGTTTAGATGGTTTATCTGCTCCTGATTTCATATTGGTAACCTGTATTTGCCTAGAAAATTGTCCATTTCATCCAGATTTTCCAATTTTGTTGAGTATAGGCTTTTGTAGTAGGATCTGATGATTTTTTTAATTTCCTCGGTTTCTGTTGTTATGTCACACTTTTCAGTTCTTATTTTATTATACTGTCTCTCTGCCCTCTGATTAGTCTGGCTAAGGGTATATCTATCTTGTTGATTTTCTAAAAGAACCAGCTCCTGGTTTTGTTGATTCTTTGGATAGTTCTTTTTGTTTCTATTTGGTTGATTTCAGCCCTGAGTTTGATTATTTCCTGCCATCTACTCCTCTTGGGTGTATTAGAATCTTTTTGTTCTAGGGCTTTCAGGTGCGTTGTCAGGCTGCTAGTGTAAGCTCCCTCCAGTTTCTTTTTGTATGCACTTAGAGCTATGAGCTTTCATTGTATCCCATAGGTTTTGGTATGATATGTCATCATTTTCATTAAATTCTAAAAAGTCTTTAATTTCTTTCTTTATTTCTTCCCTGACCAGATTATCAATGAGTAGGGTGTTGTTCAGTTTCCATGTGAATGTGGGCTTTCCATTGTCTTTGTCATTTTTGAAGACCAGCCTTAGACCATGATGATCTGATAGGATACATGGGATTATTTCAATTTTTTTGTATCTGTTGAGGCCTTTTTTGTGATCAATTATATGGTCTATTTTGGAGAAGGTACCATGAGGTGCTGAGAAAAAGGTATATTCTTTTGGTTTAGGGTGAAATGTTCTATAGATACCTGTTAAGTTCACTGGGTTCATAACTTCTGTTAGTTTCACTGTATCTCTGTTTAGTTTCTGTTTCCATGATCTGTCCATTGCTGTGAGTGGGGTGTTGAAGTCTCCCACTATTATTGTGTGAGGTGCAATGTGTGCTTTGAGCTTTAGTAAGGTTTCTTTTATGAAAGTGGGTGCTCTTGCATTTGGCGCATAGATATTCAGAATTGAGAGTTCATGTTAGTTGACTTTTCTTTTGACAAGTATGAAATGTCCTTTCTTATCCTTTTTGATAGCTTTAAGGTGAAAGTCAATTTTATTCGATATTAGAATGGCTACTCCAGCTTGTTTCTTAGGGCCATTTGCTTGAAAAATTGTTTTCCAACCTTTTACTCTAAGGTAGTGTCTGTCTTTGTTGCATAGGTGGGTTTCCTGTATGCAGCAAAAAGCTGGGTCCTGTTTGCGTATCCAGTCTGTTAGCCTATGCCTTTTTATTGGGAAATTGAGTCCATTGATGTTAAGAGATATTAAGGAGAGGGTATTGTTGCTTCCTGTTATTTTTGCTAATAGTGGAGGCATTGTTTGTGTCGTTATCTTCTTTTGGATTTGTTGGAAGAGGATTATTTTCTTGCTCTTTCTACGGTATAATTGCCTTCCTTGTACTGGAGCTTTCCTGCTATTATCCTTTGTAGTTCTGGGTTGTGGAAAGATATTGTGTAAATTTGGTTTTGTCGTGGAATATCTTGGTTTCTCCATCTGTGGTAATTGAGAGTTTTGCTGGATATAGTACCTTGGACTGGCATTTGTGTTCTCTTTGGGTCTGTATGACATCTGTCCAGGATCTTCTGGCTTTTATAGTATCTGGTGAGATGTCAGGTGTAATTCTGATAGGTCTGCTTTTATATGTTATTTGGCCTTTTTCCCTTACTGCTTTTAAAATTCTTTTTTTGTTTTGTGCATTTTGTGTTTTGATTATTATGTGATGGGAAATATTTCTTTTCTGATCTAGTCTATTTGGCGTTCTGTAGGCTTCTTGTGTGATTATGGGCATCTCATTCCTATGGTTAGGGAAGTTTTCGTCTATAATTTTGTTAAAGATATTTACTGGCCCTTTAAGTTAGGAATCTTCACTCTCTTCTATACCTATAATCCTTAGGTTTGTTCTTCTCATTGTGTCCTGGATTTCCTGGAAGTTTGTGTTAAGAACTTTTTGCATTTTGCGTTTTCTTTGACAGTTGTGTCAATATTTTCTATGGTATCTTCTGCACTTGAGATTCTCTCTTCTATCTCTTGTATTCGGTTGGTGATGTTTGTGTCTATGACTCCTGATTTCTTTCCTAGGTTTTCTATTTCCAGGGTTGTCTCCCTTTGTGATTTCTTTATTGTTTCTACTTCTATTTTTATGTCCTGGATTGTTTTGTTCAATTCCTTCACCTGCTTCATTGTGTTCTCTTGTAATTCTTTAAGGGATTTTTCTGTTTCCTCTTTAACAGTTTATACCTGTTTACCTGTATTCTCCTCAAATTCTTGAGAGTGTTATTTATGTCCTTCTTAAAGTCCTCTATCATCATCATTAGAAGTGATTTTAGATCTGGCTCTTGTTTTCCTGATGATATGGGGAGTTCGGTGCTTTCTAACATGGGAGAACTAAGTTCTGATGATGCCAAGTGCATTGGGTTGCTGATGTTTATGTTCTTGTGCTTGCTTTTCACCATCTGGATCTCCTTGGTGCTATCTGTGCTGTCTCTGTCTGGAGCCTGTCTTTCCTATTATCTTGGGTATGTCAAAACTCTTTGGGATGGGTTTTACTGTTGGGGTTAGAGGTAAGTTCCAAGATCTGCTCAGTGCTCAGGTGCAGACCGGAAGGAACCAGTGCTCCTGGTCAAGAGTGAATTCCTGGGTCCCTGTGGGTCCCAGTTACTCCCTATTTGGGGCAAGTGTTGCCACCTCCTTTCCTAAGATACTGCTCAAGTTAGAGCTCCTGGGAGCCCCGCTTCCTCTGGGTTCTGTGAGACTGGGTTCAGAGCTGACTCCCAGGATCTGCTGAGCACTCTGGCCCAGACCGGAGGGAACTCGTGCTCTGGGCCAGGAGTGAATTCCTGGGTCCCAGTGGGTCAGTTACTCCCTGTTTGGGGCGGGTGTTGCTCTCTCCTTACCTGAGATACTGGCCAGGTTAGAGCTCCAGGGAGGCCCTCTTCCTCTGGGTTTTGTGGGGTTGGGTACCCAGAGTATTATTTTTTTAACACTATAGATAGTATCTTCAATGTACAAAAGTCATATTTTTATCAAATCTTATTTATGTATTCTTTTTCTTTCTTTTGTTGTTACGTTTGATTTTATGTGTGATATTGTGTGTGTGGTCTGTGCATATGAGTGTGCATATGCATATATGCACATTGTGTGTGTGCTCAAGGTCAACATAGTGTAGCTTTCCTCAATTGGGCCAGTTTTTATTTGTTTTTGACAAAACAAACAGGGGCTCTCACTGAACCCGGGGCTCATGGATCTGGCTAGCTCATTTCCATGCTCCCAAGGCTAGAGTAACAAGAATGTATGTTTTGTCATGCTTTGCTTTTTACATGGCTTTTGCCATCTGGACTCAGGTCCTTGTGTTTGGGCAGTAGGTACTTTACAAAATGAGCCATTTCTCCAGCCCTCTTTTCTTGTCTTGCCCATGAAATCATCATCAAATCTAACTGTGACAGCTAATACTGGTTTTCATCTTGACTGGATTACAAAGAGCCTAGATGACTAAAGAAGGCCTCTGTGTTTGTCTTTGAGGATGTTTCTAGAAAGGAAAAGGAAAATCTGTGCTAAACGTGGGCAGCATCATTCCAGGATACTGGAATTACAGAGGAAAAGGTCCCACCAAAGTATACATTTTTGGCTTTTAAGTTTGATCCACTGTGAGTTGATGTTTGTCTATACTGGGTAAGAACTCAGTTCACTTTTTACATGTGGCTATCCAGTTTTTCTAGTGTCAGTTGTTTAAAAAAGACTGTCCTTTTACACAGAATGATTCTGGCATTATTTTTGAAGTGTAAAATACTATAGGTGTTATGTTTGGCTTCTAGGCTCTCTATTCTGTCTACCTGTCTTATCTTCTCACATTTTATGGAAGTTTAATTATTTTTCTAAATATTATTCTCCTGTTTAAATTATTTTGCTTATTCTAGGCCCCTTAATATTCCACATAAATTTTAAATTTGTTTTCTGCATAACTGAGAGAAAAATTGCTTATATTTTGATATGGATATTTGTATATTTTTTCACAGTATTGATTTTTTTAAGAAGTTTAAGTCTTATTATAAACAAACATGGGTAAGATCTCCATTTGTCTAGTTCTCCTCATAAATATTTTCAGCAATATTTTAGAAGTTTTATCATAGTAGTCTTTAAACTCTATGGGTAGATTTTTTTTCTTGAATATATCGTTCTTTTAAATGATACTGTAAATTAACTTCTTCCTCAGAAGATCATACCTATTTCAATAATAGGTATTGTGCTAATAATTTTATCATTATCTATTCAAATGTTTGTCTGATTTTAATTGAAAGCACTTTAAGGGTAAAATCTGATTATCTTTGATTACTAACATTCAGTTAGTTCATCTAGATGATTAATAAATCAAATATTAGATTTTGTGCATGACTATTAACCTGGATTCTTTAATGTCTTAGAAAATTCAGAATTAATCAGTATTGGATAAATCCTGAGGCAATTTTGATCACATTTCTCTGTTCAATATCTCATTTATAAGGATAGTGACTCACACAAATTAATACTTATAAATCAATGGGAAAGACAGGAGAGATTCTTGCTGTTTTATTCTTCATCTCCCTTCTACCTTCATGCATAAATGAAAGAGGAGAGATAATCTGAGAATACAGTAAACACACACACACACATGAAGACAATTCTGGCCTATTAACACTCTCCTTTCTCCTTAATATTATAGGCTGTGTTCTTCTTTCCTTCAGAAGGTCCTCGAAATACTGAACATCCTGCCCCAGAAGAAAACAATACATTACAATTTGAGTTTCAAGAAAAAGCTCCCAGTGACAATACAGCTTTAAGAATAAAAGGTGTTTTCTTAGGAAGTTATGCTTTCTTCAAGTTAAGAGTCTCAAGAAATCATTCAGCTCCCAAAACTATCCCACAGAAAAGTGATAAAGGTACATCTTCTATGCATGTTCCAGAGCAACAAGAGGCTATTCCTCTAGTCTTCCCAGAGCAAGAAATCAAACTGAATGCTCTAACTCCCCCATTAACAACACACCCTTCAGAAAATACTCCTCCTCAGAAAGACTCTAGAACTGATCAACTGAATGACGAGGACCTATCATCTATTATACATCAAACTTCTGATATGCAACCCAATTTGCTTGGCTATGAAACTGTATCAGTCAAAAGTCTTCAAACTCCATCTTCACATAATTTCCTCCATTTTTCACCTGACAATTTGTCATCCCAATCATTAATGGCATCTCTGTCAACACAAGTCTTACAATCTAAACAGCCATCATTTCATATTTCACAGTCTTATGATCTGATATCTGAAGATTTTCTTTCTGAAAATATACCATTTCAAGACAATCAATCCCAAGACACCCCTTCTCAGTACACCCCACCCCAAGACATACAATTTCAAGATATACTAGCTCAAGACACATCACTCCAAGAGATTCAATCCCAAGAGACTCCATACCAAGATACACTAACCAAAGACATACTATATCCAGAGACGCCACCTCAAGAGACTCCATCTCAAGGGACTCCATACCAAGAGCTATCATACCAAGATATACTAACTAAAGATACATTACCCCAAGAGTCTCCATATCAAAATATACTAACAAAAGAAATACCATTCCAGGAGACTCCATTACAAGGGAATCTATCCAAAGGGACTCTGTCCCAAGGCACTCCAACCCAAGGTACTCCATCCCAAGGCACTCCATCACAGGACACTCCATCTCAAGGGACTCCATCCAAAGGGACTCCATCTCAAGGAACTCCATCTCAATTGACTCTATCCAAAGGGACTCCATCCCAAGGGACTTCACCCAAGGAGACTCCATCCCAAGTGACTCCATCTCAAGGGACTCCATCTCAAGTGACTTTATCCCAAGGGACTCCACCCAAGGGGACTCCATCCCAAGGGACTCCATCTCAAGGGACTCCACCCCAAGTGACTCCATCCCAAGGGACTCCACCCAAGGGGACTCCATCCCAAGGGACTCTATCTGAAGAGACTCCATATCAAGAGACTCCGTCTCAAGGGACTCCACCCCAAGGGACTCCATCCGAAGGGACTCCACCCAAGGGGACTCCATCCCAAGGGACTCTATCTGAAGAGACTCCATATCAAGAGACTCCATCTCAAGGGACTCCACCCCAAGGGACTCCATCTGAAAGGACTCTATCCAAAGGGACTCCATCTCAAGTGACTCCATTCCAAGGAACTCCATCCCAAGGGACTCCACCCCAAGAGCTATCATTCCAAGATTTACTAACCAAAGACACATCATCTCAAGAAACTCCATACCAAGAAACTACATTCCAAGATACACTAATTCAAAATATACCATCCCAAGACACCCAATATGAAGAGACTCCATCACAAGAGATTTTCTTCCAAGAGTCTCCATTCCAAAATACTCCATCCCAGAATATACAATATCAAGATATACTATCTCAAGACAAACTATCCCAAAGCTCACAAACCCAAAATACAGTACCTCAAGACATGCCATCCTCAGATCTTCAAATATTAAACACTCAAGTTCAAGTCCAGCAATATCCAGAAGTATTTTATAGGGACATTCGAACAGAAGTCATGGAGCTGACTCAAGATTGGCAGTCTAATCAGGGCAAGAAACCCACGAGAAGACTTTCCCTATCCTTGCCAGGCAAACATGGGCAATTCCAGTCCAAGAGATATTCTGTGGACCTGCAAGTCAAAAGGGAGAAACCAAGGAGATATTCTGAGGACTTACAAAGTAAAACTACAAGACGGAAATCCATAGATCAGCAAATCAAAGCCTGGATAACCCCAAAGAAAAATACCACAGGGAAACAAGATGCATATACCCAAACCACAGAGCAAGCTGAGGATCAGCAGGCTCAAGATCAGCAGGCTCAAGAGCAGCAGGCTCAAGAGCAGCAGGCTCAAGATCAGCAAGCTGATGATCAACAGGCCAAAGAGGAGGGCCCAGTACAACAATCCCAAAATGAACAAATCAAAGTCCAAAAATCTGTAGAGGAGCTATTACCAGAAGAACGTCTTAATGACAGAGAGGATGAAGATCAGCAGTCTGATAAAAAGCAACCTCCAGAAGAGCAAGCTCAAGTTCAACCAGCCGAAGACCAGCACCCCAAAGTACAGAAAGACCCAAAGACCCAGCTCCAAAGTTGGCAGGGAGGACAGCAAGTACTAGTAAAGAGAGTCCCAATGAAGTTGTGTGATAACTGGGACTCCCAAAGCTTTCAAGGCACAGAAAGGTCATGTTCATTCTGGTCAACTCCATCCTGGCAGCCTATTAGCCAGAGATCCCAAGACTGGATAAGTCAAGGTTGGAGAAACAAAGATTGGAAAGCACAAGAATGGCAGTTTGAAGTGCAACCTTCCCTAGAATGGGAATCCCAAGAGCTATTAGAGAGAGAATCCTTAAGGCAAAGAGCACTGTACCAACAAATTCAACCCCACACCACCATAGTTCATCAGACCCCAGATCATCGATTGCAAAACTTTATATTTCAAGTAGGTCTATGTCAAGGTAGTAGGCAGCAACAAGACTCTGAATCTGGTGCTTTAATAGAAGATGTGTATGAAGATGACGTTCAATCAAGAGACAGAGAACCAGGAGATACAGAAGATACATGCCAGAAACCAACAGACCAGCGGTCAGAAGACATGAGGCCAGATAATTATCCTGTTTCTTGTCAGAGCCTGGTTCCATACACATATGTAACCTGTTTATCCAACATAGCTTCAGAGCAAGAGGTGCAGAACAATACACCTTGCTCAGGTTCATCCAAAGATCTAAATGCCACTTCTTCCTCATCATATCAAAGAGATCAACAGCAATCTGAAGATTCAGACTAACATGCACATCTAACCAAAATACACAGATGCCAGATAACGGAACCAGATGAGGAGAAAGCAGTTGATTCTTCCCTAACCTCTGTTCTTGCCTGTGCTTGCTGTCTAATTCATACACCACAGATGAAGGACATGCAGGACCTTCAAAGAACTTGTTCCTTTTTAAATCAAAATGACAACAAGCTAAATGTTAACACTATATCAGAACCTTCTGGGGTTGAAGGAATAAATCTCATGTAAACCGTAAACTTTTTGTTATCAATTTTTTTTATTCGTGAATATCAGTTCATCTCACAGCTTACTACTTCATGGATCTATTCTCCCATAATACTATTTTTTCTTCCCACACTTATGTTGAAGATATGTGTACTATGTTTATCCAGTACTTGGTGAAATAGGAAACCTAGCTAGGGACAGAAGAGTAGAACACAGGGAAGGATGGCCATGTGCATGTTATAATAGAAAATAGGATAAACTGGACTGTGTTGAAAGGAGGTCCACTTTGTTCCCTTTCATACATACCTGCTCTCACTGTTTGGTCAGTCTTAGGAGCCAATTTCACCTTTGGTGGTCAAAGGAATTGTGTTAGAAACTATCTTCCTAGCCAATCACAGTTTCCTAATCCTCTTTCTGTTTGATGTCTTTGACAAGATCTTGCTTTACTGTCAGCACTAAAGCTTTGTGTTTACTTGCCTACACAGTGTTTTCTTTGCCCTAGAATTGGGTCTGTTGTTTTCTTACTTGCTTTTTAACTTCCAACTTCCTACTGTTTTTTTAAAAAATGCTCAATGCATTGTTTCCTATGCTAAGTTCTCTTTGAAGGACCCTCTACAAGAGATGCCAAAGCTCTCAAACTCCATTGCTGACATACAGCTGCCATCCTGGACCTCCTGTCCATCAACTTAAGTGCCTGTCCTCACAAATGTATCACCTTATGGTACAGGTGTATCTTTGAAACTCCCCAAGCTGGGTGAATAGATCTTGACAAACATCTAATACTTCAAAAGCTTTCAATCCCTTCTTGACATTAAAGCAAAACAGGTCTGACATTTTCAGTTGACTCACATGAGCCATATTTTGACCTGAATTTCAACCAACCAGTGAGAATCCTTTTTAAATCTTTGTTAAAGACATTAAATGCAGAAGTTCTGCTTGATGAACATATATCAATAAATTAACCTAGATCCAACATTTTGTGTCTCCAAAATTAGCCCTTATCTATACTATGTATTTCCATGTGTGTTCTCTAGGCTTCTATATTTATAGAGAAGAAAGCTCAGGTACTTTGATGTAGTCTAGCAAGCCTCCTGAGACACACTTTCTGTCATAAAGTTGGGGTCTGCAGTCAACTAAGTCCAGCTAAAGTACAGAAACAGTGAGGGTGGGTAGAGATGTGCCCTGACATGAAATAGTATCATCTGACACAGCAACTCCTTCAGATGAGGCCATCATAGTCTCTTCAGGCAACAGGGTTTATTCACACAGATAGTAGGCCCTGCTGGAATGAAGAGACTTCTTCTCCTGAATATAGTAGACTCATTAGAATTCAAGGTTCAGTGTTTTCAGATTTGCAAAATGTTACCATACTTGGGCATTCCAACTTTAGAATTCCATTTGTCCTTACCAAGGACCCCAATTTAACAGCAGTGATTCAAAGAACAGAGAATTCAACTTGCATTGTAATCCAGCCAGATGCTAAATGAGATTTTGTACCTAGTTTTCAGCAACATTAACTCTGTACTATAGAAAAGAAGAGGATTCTTCAAAACACACAGTAGTGGGTCATTTCTATTGTGCTTGATTTGGGAATTAAAATCCCTGATCTCCTCCCTCTGTCTCCCTAGTCTTCCCAGAAAAAAAAAGTGGCAGCAATCAACCTCATTATGTTTATGCACTCCGAAAAACATTTTCAAGTATCATGAGCAGTGAGTGTCACCCAGACTCATCTATAAATGCTTAATTAGGAGCAGTAGGTACAGAAAATTTGTAAGATTCTGAAGCCAGGTCAAGCCATGGACTAGTAGTGCTCTAGGACTGAAGATAGACTCATTAGCATCTTTATATTTGGTGGGATTGAGGAGCTTATTTAGAAATCTCCAGAACAAATGTGTAAGAGCCACTCTTTTTAAAATAGTGAACATCAGGAAAGAGAGGTTATTTTGTTCCACAGGAGCTTTTCTTAGATCAAAAATCATATTAGTCATAGATGTCTGGGTGAACAAATCATTATTAGATGGGTGGATAGATGATACATAGATAGACAGATAGATAGATAGATAGATAGATAGATAGATAGATAGATAGATAGATGACAGGGAGATGGTAGATGTTGCTTCATAGCATTAATCAAGTTAGTTATCTCTTTGCTTTGGACTGAAATATCCCACCTCTAAATTCTAATTCAGAAGTCCTAACTCCCAATGTTATAACATTGGAAATAGAGCTTTGAAGGTAGTAGGTTCAGATGAAAATACAAGAGTGGGACCCTCATGATGGCAGTAGTGTCCTCCTTTTTTTTCAATTTCAGTGGACATCTTTATTGTTTATAGCTGGAATTTCATATTTTCATGCTGAATCATGAACAGTGACAAAGCTAACCAGAGGCTACATACATCAAAGAGAGCTAAGCCTTTACAGCTCACTTCCTTTCACAGGCAGAATACAAATAGATGTCCTCTGCAACACACAATGGTTTTAGTCACTAAGGAATTGAAATGGGATCTTGAAGAATGTAGACAAATCTTGATGCAGTAAAGATGAGCTGAGATGCTGTGCAACTGTTTAAGGGTTCCTGGTGCTGCATCTTGGTGAATCTTGTGCTAACACCAAATGGAGATGCAGAAAACACTAGGTTGACTTAGGGGCTATTCACAGGAACCAAAGGCAGGACAATACTAAACATTGCTGAGAGCATCCACCCTGGGAAGGATTTTACCTTCCAGGAGCTCTAGACTGGCACCTCCTCCAGTGCTCACATGGCTGACTTTATCCTCTGTGTTCCATTTGACACAGCAAGTGGCAGTGTCTCCACCACCTATGATACTGATCCAACCCCTAGAAGTGGCTTTCACCACCTCATCCATGAGTGACTTGGTTCCCCTGGCAAAGGCGTCCCATTCAAATACCCCAACAGGGCCATTCCAAACAATCTGCTTAGCTCAGGCCACAGCCTCAGTATATTTCTTGCTGCTCTCAGTACCACAGTCCAAGCCCAGCCAGCTAGCAGGTATACCGGAGGCCACAGTAGCTTGGCCAGTCTTGGCATTCTCATCAAATTTGTCAGCAGTGACAAAGTCAACAGAGAAGATAATCTTCACACCATTTTCCTCAGCTCTGGACATGAGATCTTTGACAATCTTGGCTCCTTCTTCATCATACAGAGATGTGCCAATCTCCATGTTGTTGAGAACCTTAAGGAAGGTAAAAGCCATTCCACCACCAATGATCATCTCATTGACATTGTCTAGCATATTACTGATCAGCTGGATCTTGTCTGCAACTTTAGCTCCTCCCAAGATAGCCAGGAAGTGTTGCTCTGGACTCTCCAAAGCCTTGGCAAAGTAGTTCAGCTCCTTCTTCATCAAAAATCCACCAGCTTTCTGTGGCAGATTCATACCCACCAGGGAGCTGTGGGCTCAGTGTGCAGTCCCAAAAGCATTATTGACATAGACATCTCCTAGTTTGGACAGTGAGGCTCAGAAAGCATCAATTTTGCCTGATTCAGCTTTAACTTTGTTCCCAGAAGCATCTTTTCCCTTCCCTTCTTCCTCTACATGAAAGCAGAGGTTCTCCAGCAGGATGACAGTCCCAGCCGCTGGGTTGGCACAGGCATTCTCGACTCCTGGACCCACACAATCCTTCAAGAACAGGACATCCTTGCCCAGCAGAGACTTGAGTTCTGCAGCACCTGGCTCTAAGGAGTACTTGTCAGGCATGGGGACACCATCAGGCTGGCCCAGGTGGCTCATAAGGACAACCAACTTGGCTCCATTGTCCAAGCAGAACTTGATGCTTGGAACAGCAGCCTTGATCCTTTGGTTATTTGTTATCTGGTTGTTCTTCATAGGAACATTGAAGTCCACCCTCATCATGACCCGCTTCCCCTTCACTTCCAGCTTGTCCAAAGTCAGCTTGTTAGAAAGCGACATTTTGGCTATACTGTGAGGTCAAGAGACCCAGAGCGGAGGAAAAGCCAGTAGTGCCCTCCTACAGTGGCACATGCCTATAATTCCAACACTCTAGAATCTGAAGAATTGTGAGTTTAAAGGCAGCCTGGACCAGTAATCTTGAAGCTAACTTGAAGTACACTTTGTCATGCGTGCGTGCGCACACACACACACACACACACACACAAACAAGAGAGAGAGAGAGAGAGAGAGAGAGAGAGAGAGAGAGAGAGAGAGA